TCTTCAAAAAGTATGTGTTTTATCTTGCCTATAGGATAAGTAAAGTAAAAATAAAAAAATGGCGGCCATTTTGAATTGATTTTAAAAAGATCAAGGACTAAAAGTAAAGCCGTGGTAGAGCAAAAAATGAATTCAGCGTTCTCGAAATAGGTAAGTAAGCCCAACTACCTGCTTGTACTAAATAATGCCGTTAGGATGAACATTTTTCCAAAATCAAACCTGTCTTAATCAATTAATGCAACAATTATTATAATAAATACAGTAATTTGTTCCTACCATCTTTAGATTATCAGTTTATTTTGCTGACGGGTGTGATGATAAAGGCACTATCCACACACATCTTAAAATAGATATGTCTGAGATTGAGGTGTATTTTCACAGGAAAACATTTTATAATGTCTGTTAATTCTAGTACTAGAGTTTTGTAAGACATACTTTATTTGATTACTTGGCAGCATATTGGATTAAGTTTGAAAAAAAGTTTGATGGTTTTATTTAATAATAAAAAAGGAAAGAAGAAAACCACATATGAAAACATTTGGTCGTCATAGTGGATTCTAATGCATTTAAAATATATATAATAATATTCAAAATCATTTTTGTTCATTATTACATTATACCATGTTGTCAGGCGTTCCTCAAGTCTTTAAAACAAAGATCTCCTGATTGTTCAAAGATCTCTTGATTGTCATTCTGTCTTCCCCATATTGCACGAATATCAATAAGAGAACAATTAAAATTCATAAAAATTATAAATATATTGTATTAAGATCAAATTGTATTATGCTGTGCTTCTCTTAGTTCACGGTACATAACGCAGGGAAACAATAAACTAATGGTACAAAAAACATCATAAGCTGTAACGTTTAGGTATTTTCAGATGATGATATCATGCATAAGTGCAACCGGAACGCGAAAATGTGCGAAAGTGTAACAATGCGAAAAAGCGAAAATGTAACAATGCGAAAAAGCGAAAATGCAACAATGCGAAAATGTAACAATGCGAAAAAGCGAAAATACGACAGATGGAATGCGAACATACGACAAATTTTATATGTCGTATTCTCGTCCTCCTTCTGTTGTATTTTCGCTTTGTTGCCTCGAAAATGCGAAAAAGCGAAAGCACAAAGAGACCACAAAGTCCAACTTTGTCGTCTATTCGTGTTTTTGCTTTTCCGAATTTTCGAGGCAACAAAGCGAAAATACGACATGGCGTAAATCAGCAATCATAATCATTCATAATACAAAGGGGTGAGAAGTTGCGAATGTATTAACTCTTCCTTCCACTTGAATAAGGCTACATTTTCGAGTTTTCGGCGCATATACATACTTTAAATGTTTATCATTATAATGATGATGTAGATCTTTGTGTCTAATTGTTTTCCTTGTGGTTCCATCAATTTTAAATGTAAGTCTTATATATTAATAATTTAATCATGTTAAGTTTGTTTTCAGCTAAAATGAGTATACATTGCTGAATGTGAATATTTTTATAGCAATGTGACCGGCGTCCGTCGGTCGCCCGTTGGCGTTATCCAGAATTTCAATAAATTATATTTTCTTAACCACTTAGTAGAATTTGACCTGCAAAGAATGATCTTGAGGTCGGCCTTCACAAGAAATTAAATGGTTCTTTTTAACGGCTATTTAAATTAAATCTGATCTTTAATTACATTTATTTATTTATTTACATTTTTCTATTGTAATAATTTTAAGCACAAAAGATAAATAAAAAATATGTTTATAACTTTCTATTTCTTTCTCTTTCTCGTTCTCAATTTTCAAATAGCTTATTTCTGTGCAATGTAAGATTTGCTTGTACACTACGATAATAACCTTCTCTTTAAATAAAAAAAGCTAAACATTATAAATGGCCGGATCACACAGTTATTCTTCTCTGAATTCATTATTTGCCATTCAGCAAATATTTCAAAGTTTAAATGAATAATTTCATTAATTTTGACACACTGTTAAACAGATAAAGCTAAAATCAAGTGTTTTTAATTATAATTTACTAATATTTATTTTTTCATCTTTTTTTTTTAATTGTTAAAGTGTCAGTTATTACGCACGTACATCATTCTACTTATACATGTATTTTTCATCGCTCAAAGCTTACAAGTGCACTAAGTCTTGATATCTATTTGAATAATGATTTCAGAAAACGCTTTGACATATTTAAATTATCCCGAAGGGAAACTGAAATCTTGACCTTAGACCGATTATTCACTCAATAAGATTTTCCTTCGCGGTGGCCTACCTACCGATAAGCCAATACGAATAAAAAGAACAGGTTTTTTTTTTTTTTTTTTTAAAGATGAAATCAATAATTTGAGAATAGATCGATCAACAAAATTTGATATACCCAGTAGCTGGTTGATTATATAGGTATGCGTAGGATGTTACCTTATTCGAATATGTGTTACCTATTTTCATAATGTATATACACACACTCAATTAAAGGTTCTGAGGAAAGGGAGTACGCGAATTTTGAGCAAATTAATTACATTGCCTGGGTATATCAACGGGAAGTAATTTTAGGGAGAATAATTTTATCGTTGTTTCGGTCTGGAATCCGAGTAATCAAAGATTTTATGACGGTATGGTTTTAAAAAATTAAACTTGAAAACAAAATGTTCGACATTTCTACAGAGCCATGGAGTGACGTTCACAATGTAAAAAAAATGATATAAACAATTTCTTTAAAAATCTCTTTTTGCAGATAGAGTTATGCTTTGAATAATGAATGTTATAATGCTTATAAACCACGTCAAAATCCTATTAATGACAGGAAAAAGTGCAATTTATTACAATCATCTTCCAGCAGAACCAAAATCAGTGAAAACTAAACATTTATTTCATTGGTTTTACATTTATATACAAAATTAAGTCCTGACTGCAACGTTGGATTTGTAACTCAATCATATGGGATTGCTATTAATATTTTCCATTGAAGTTAAAAGTCAGTATATTATTTCTAAGTTAGTAACATTCATTCATCTTATATTTATTTCAAATTGTACTGAATAATTTGTGCCCTATGAATCATCAGATAGTTGCAGTTCTATCGTCACAAACCATATTCAACTTATGTTTATTGGACCGTAAAAAAGAATATTTACCAAATATAAAAGTTATTTCTACTGTCTTATTTTATTGAGTATAGAAATAAATTGAATACCTCTGCAAACAATGACACGTATTCTTTATTATACGCAGTCTCATTTATACATATAAAACATAGATAAATATACAACGAGACCAATGTATAGTCATATAAGAAAATTCTTTTATTTCAATGAGTTGGCGAGTCTTTCTTTTATGTACGTTAGAATGAAATATCTTAACTATTTCGGATGAAAATTGAAAGAGTCGAGTTGAGAAGAAAAACTGTTAAAGAAATTTTAACATTGACATAGTACGCTTTCAAAGGGACCTAAATGATCGCACGATACTAAATTTTAACTTACCGTTTCAAAATAGCTAAAATATTTAAAACTAAATATGTTTGTACTGTCGTCCTTAAGATCATTTTTAAACGATAGGTTTCTTGATTATATCTCATTTTAAGTTATGATGAAACAAAAGAAAAAAAGAATAAGAAAATTAACAATGAATGAAGGAAATAAAATCCACCTTGATTACAATAGAGAGCCAGGCTATGTTTTGTTTTTCTAATAGTAAAGATCTTTTTGAATTATTTAAGACAGCGACACGTTAGACTTCGTGACTTCGTGTCAATACATGTACGTGATGTCATCTTCATAACTTTAGATAAGGACAATAGTAGTACAATAAAATGTCATTTCACCGCTTATATATCCACTACATCCCTGGTTATAGCACATAGCTATTTTAAACATAAGACTCTGGCGACCCTTCGGCTAAAGACCTGAACTCGGCGAATACTAAAAAAAGCCAAATGATTATTTCAGTGCATTATTTTTCAATGCTGCAGACTGCTCTTTATAGTTACCTAAAACACAATACACTGTGGGGGAAGCACACCAATCTACGAAGTTGCATCTTCGTTGCTGATAATATATTCTTTTATTTCGTCTATGTTTATCTGTACATTGTTTTGTCAGCAAAGAAAGACAAGAAAAAATGTTCCTGGACAGCGACATATACATTTAACAAGATTGGGGCATTTCAATTAGTACAAGGCCTGCTCTAGACCAAGCAAAATAGAGAATTCAATGATGTACATAAAGTTAGTTCCCTATTCCTTATTCCTTTTTGGAATAAGGAATCAGTTCCTTATTTATTTAAGACGCGTTACATATTTTTTATTAAAACTACACTTTCGAATAATTTAAACTTTATCCTCCGTCCGAGGACGGATATTGGTTTCGCGTTATCTCTCTGTCTGTTTGTTTGTCCGTCCGTAAAGTCGGGCCAACCTTTATTGGTTTATGAGCTTCGTTCCACAATTTTAGTTACAAAAGAAAAAAAATCATAAACTATGGGTTAATGAGATAAGTTTTACAGGTTAATGTAAAAACAATGACGCATACAAATCCATGTTGGTGCGCACCTGAGAATGGATGATATGCTTAATTTCTTCTTTTTTTCTACTTTTTAATTCTTCTTTTCCATGTTTTACTAATTACGAATTTATGCAATGACTCTGTACTTAAGATATACACTTCAAATGATACTGATAGAATTTAACAAGAAGCATTGTGGGGAAATTATGGTGCATGTATACACATTTTAAATAAACGTTAATTGATATTTATGTTAACAAAAATTCATTCATTTACAGAACACACAGTGTGTGAAAAGTACAACTGAGATTTTTGAGTCAAATTTGTTGTTCGAGCTGCTTTTGTCTCAAAAGGAAGCTGCCCGTTTTCTAGAGCTTGCATACCTGGCACTTCGTGATGATCCAAAAATAGCAAAACAGGTATCTTCTTATACTTCTAAAGGCATTAACATTAACGTATGACTACTTATCTCAAATTAAACATTGTTTTCATACGTAAAAAAATACGTGCATGCGATATTGTAAGTGTATATGTGGGCGTTCGAGTATAGAAGTACGTGAATGCGTGAGTGTCTGTGTGCGTGTGCGAGTGAGTGCGTGCTTGAGTGCGTACGCGACTTGGTGAGTGAGTGAGTGAGTGGGTGAGTGAGTGAGTGATTGAGTGAGTGAGTGAGTGAGTGAGTTGGTGAGTGAGTGAGTGAGTATATCAATGCTATTGCTCGTGAAAGCGTAGAAAAAAACTATACAATAAACAAATATTGTTTTCAAGATTTTTTCTCTAATATTTATAGTCAAATTATTTTTTCTGTGAAGTCTTTATGTGAACAATAAATAAAATCAACCTAAATTGGCAAGCGCATTCCTCTTTACTGCAGGTACGCGAAGCAGCTAATAATAGCCAAAACCAGCATTTAAAGACCCATGGTCTTGTGAGAGAATATGAAGGAACAGCTATACACGTGGTTAAAACAATGCTTCCGATTATAGAACTTGGAATAAAGAAAAAGGTTAACCTTTTATCATTTCTTTTAAGTATGTAGATATGTATAGGAAACGACACATTGAATTGACTTATTCCTTATTAGTAGAGGAAAACTGAGGGTACGGAGGAAACATTTGAGGAAACATTTTGATGAGGAAACATTTTGAGGAAACATTTTGATGAGGAAACATTTTGAGGAAACATTTTGATGAGGAAACATTTTGAGGAAACATTTTGAGGAAACATTTTGATGAGGAAACATTTTGATGAGGAAACATTTTGATAAGGAAACATTTTTTAGGAAACTTCGTTATTTGTGTTACTCTTGGCTTTTAAAATAAGCGCTTCTCAATCTAGGACGTTCGTTCAGTCCTATATAAATCCCTTGCTTCTATAAGATTACATCAGTGTGGAAATACTACATCATCAAAATGGATAGTGAAAAAAAGGAAAAAATTCTACATAAATATTATTTTGAGACAAAAAATCCAGGCGCGTACGCGGGTGCTCAGAAATTGTTTCATATTCTAGATAAGAAATATCCCGGAGTATTTTCAAAAACTTATATCAAACAATGGCTAAACGATCAGGATGCCTATTCCTTACAAAAGTCGAGACGATATAAATTCAAGACGGCAAATGTGCGTGTTACCGCTATTGGTGAACAGCTAGACATAGATCTCCTATCAATGGCGAATCTTGCTAATGAGAATGATGGTGTACGATTTCTACTTTGCGCCATTGATATTTTATCTAGAAAACTTTGGGTAAGGCCGCTGAAAAACAAGAGTGCTAAGGTGGTTTTGAGTGCCATGAAAGACATTTTAGAGAACGTGTCTCCGACGAAAATTCAGAAAGTTCGCGCTGATAAAGGGAGCGAGTTTTCCAACCAATGGTTTAAAAAGTATATGAAAGACATGGGTATCTACTTTTTTACCACAAACAACCCGCCAAAGAGTAATTTTGTTGAGAGAGTTCAGAGGACACTGAAAGAAAAATTGTATCGAATGATGCGTCACAAGAGAACCTACCGGTACCTAGATGACCTTCAACAGGCGGTGGCTAATTACAACGCAACACCTCATCAAGGTTTAAGTGGTTTAGCTCCAAACGATGTTAATAAAAATAACGAAGCTGACGTGTGGGCGCGAATGTACTTAAAAAAGTCTAAAACAGGTACTGCTAAACCTGTTTTTCATTTTAAAGTGGGAGATCTCGTGCGCATAAGTTTCATAAAACAACCGTTTCAAAGAGCTTATCAAGAACAGTACACCACAGAAGTATTTAAAGTGGCGGGAAGAATTCTAAAGCAAGGTATTCCTATGTACAAGGTAACAGATTTGAAAGGTGATATTATTAAAGGTTTATTTTACACTAACGAACTTCAAAAGGTGAACAAAGACGAAAATAGTTTATGGTTCATTGAGCGTATATTAAGAAAAAGAAAAAGGAACAAGAAACTCCAATATTTCGTCGAATGGCAAGGGTTTCCAATAGCTTTTAATAGCTGGGTAGATGCTGATGAAATCAAAGACATCGCTGAAGATAAAACCATAAACATTTAAACGTTATTATGGAGCGATCGCGAGTGTTTCGTGAATTGAACTTTTTGTTTACTTTAGGAAATGCCAGAGCAAGTGCTTACCGACGTTTAATTCAACAAGCTACCTCTGAGCAGGTAGCTGCTATAGGCGAAATTATGAGGAGGTTAGCGGCTCAATCTATAATCATTTACCAACCTGATCTTCATATCTTTGAAGATCAAAGACTTACCATGAGAACTATAGCTTCCGGACAGGTAAACAGAAGAAGGAAAAAGAATGCGCTATTAAGACACCGATCACTATTAACTAGAGTACTACGATCTCAATACATTTATCAAACCATTGCTGCTGAAATAAGCGACACGATATATATGGGAGATGAATAAAGACTTCACTGTTAAACTTCAAATAGTTAAAATGAGAACTGATAACACCAAAGACGAGACGGAAATTGCGCCATGAACACCATGGATAAATATTTGTTTATAAAAAGTGATGAAAGTGATGCCTATTTTTCGGATAATCAAGTATATCGATTTAAAGTTCATTTAAATTTACCATTAACATTAAATGGTAAATGGGTAGTTGCGCTCACAGAGTTTAATGCTATAGACATTTCTAAGCCTAAAACTAAAAAGAATGACACTCTTTACATTTACACAGACCTTTGCAATGAAAGTATTGTGCACGGTGCAGAACAACCACTTTTAAGACGGCTGGATCAAAATCAAAAGAACGGTTGGGATTACATGTTCAACGTGCCATACTACCTACCTGTAAAAAGGAAGGAGCTGAGAGAATTTCAAATCTATATAAAACTGGCAGACGGTACTTATCCATCAGACTTGAAATCACCATTACACCTCACACTTCACTTGAAGCAATATCCGTTTTATTAAAACAAAATGAAACTGTATGTACCTAATCCGCAAAAGTGGGTGGACTTCTTCAACAGAGTTAGTAGCGGAAAAACGGTGCTGAATCAAACGGGAGCTGGTAGGCGTTTATCTGTCATTCCAGTGGACGAATCAAATACAACACGCGACAAGCAGTATACTATAAAAGCAGTTTTACCGGCCGAGCAAACAAAAGCGCAAGCAAAACTGAGTAGAGGGGGCGGATAAAATCCGAACCCGTGTTTTTGAATTGCCTTTAGTTTCTTAAGCCCGCGGAGACGTGGGGCTAAAAGCAAAAAAACTGAAACCAACCCTATAAAGGATTTAAACGCGGGGAGCGTTTCAAAAAAAAAACCTAAATCTAAGAAAAGAACAGCTTCGAAGGGAAAGAAAAAATCATTCGCAAATAGAGTAAAGGACATATTTGAAATCAACTAAAGAATGTCTGTATTTAATGAGGAAAAGTTTAAAGAAGGACTTGTGTCGGAGTTAGCTTTGTTCGATTTACCTAGCACACAAACGAGGTGTGAATGATATTTACTACGATGAAATTCGGCCACTATCTCCAGGTGTCGGGCGATAGCCCTTTCGAGTTTAAGATCAGCGGACAAAACTCTATGGATTATCTCGACTTGAAAAATTCACAAATCTATGTGCGACTAAAGGTAGAAAAGTCAGATGGGACGGCTCTCACGGATGTAAAGGTGGAAAAGGTAGGACCCGCAAACCTGTTTCTTCAAGCGTTGTTTTCAACGACAGAAGTCACTTTGCAGAACAAAGCCACCATCACGTGTAATTACAACCCGTACAGAGCTTACATGCAAACCCTTCTTAACTACGGATCAGACGCGATTACCAGTCAACTAGATACACAACTCTTTATCAGAGACGATGATGATTCACCAGGTACGACAGATCCTAATGGAAACAACAATGGACTATTTGTGAGAGCACAAGCCATCTCTCAATCAAAAACAGTCGACTTACAAGGGCCTATTTTTAACGATTTGTTTTCTATGGAGAGATATTTACTGAATCAAGTAGATGTAAAAGTGAAGCTATACAGAAGCCCACCAGAATTTTGTCTGCTCACGGGAGATGATACCCAATACAACGTGAAAATCGAAGATATTTACATCCTCGCTAAAAAAATAAGAGTCAACCCCGCCGTAATCTACGGACACTCAAAAATTTTGGAGAAGCAAAATGCACTATACCCATACGACAAAGTTGAGGTGAGATCAGTGAGCATGTCTACTGGTTTGACCAACTATAGCTGGGAAAACATGTTTCAAGGCAGACGCCCTAACAAAATTGTCTTAGGATTTGTTAAAAGCAGAGCTCTAAGCGGTGATTACAAGACCAACCCTTTCAACTTCGAGAATTGCTCCATTCAACAAATTGCCGTATACTGTGACGGGTTACCCATTGGAGGAAATCCTTTGAAGTTAGATTTCGATAAGGTCGGAGGTACTGCTTTTATGCGCGCCTACACCAATTTGCTTCTGGCTAGCGGAAAGTGGAGACAGGACGAAGGCAATCTCCTAGACAGGAAGCACTATTTAAGCGGTTCAACCTTGTTCGTGTTCCAGTTGGAGCCAAATTTTTCACACCACGGTGAATATCTGTCTCTTGTGAAGACGGGGAACGTGCGGTTAGATGTGGTCTTCAAGACGCCATTATCAGGTTCGAATTACTTTATTTACAATGTATATATATTTTTTTAGTATTTAAATATTTGTTAGTTTTCCTGTTTGAATACTATTTTATTTAAGCCTTGATTCCTTATATAATGAAAACCTTTTACCTATGGTTTTATTACATCTCCTCTTTTATTATAATTCAGAACCTATAAGCTGCATTGCTTACAGCGAGGGACCTGGCTATTTTGAAATAAACCGAGAAAGAGATATCATTATCTCATAAATGAATACATCACAGCTGGAATGTATCATTGATTGTGATCCCGTTTTAAATGGACGAATCATTGGCGTATTCGCTGCGGATAAATTACCTAGACAACTTCCAAGAACACCATATGGATTTATCGCTAACACGCACATTCACACAAAACCAGGACAGCATTGGTGCGCCTTTTTCAGCGATGCTAAAGGACGTGTGGAATTTTTTGACACTTATGGTAGAACGCCGAATCGAAATAGTCATTATTTTCAACAATGGATAGAGATGAAGGCATACAGTTTACAGTTAAATCATGTTCAAATTCAGGGTGATCACTCATTATTATGTGGACTGTATTGTATATTGTTTCTCCACCAAAGACTCCTTGGATATACATTTCAAGACATAATAAATGGATTTGATGTATATGCTTTAGATTCTAATGATAAGTACGTGGCTGATACGATGCTTCATGCGTACTCCCACTGTATTGGAAATGACCATTATAATCAGACCTGTAGCTTTTTTTATAAAAGATGTTTTTAGTTCTTTAGTGTATAGTTGTGTATAAAAAATAAATAGAAAGAAACATCAGTTAATTGTTTGTTATTATTTTACTGATAAAACAAAAACAACGAAGCAAGTTTTACATTAAGTTTATTAACTTATATAGATTTATTTACTTGCGTATATATTTATTTATATATAGTCTATAATAGGTTGCACTGAATAAATTACATGATTATTTACAGTTTAACACAAGGAGTAATTTTAAAGTCACCAATCGTAAATGCATCTTCCTCTAGCGTTTGATAACGACCACCTGCAGGCATGATTGAAAATGTCTGTACATCACTTTCAGACGCTATATCAACACTATCGTCAGAGATCTTATAGTGTCCATACGCATAACTATTCACCGCATTAATGAGATATCTCTTATCGTCAAAGGCGGACAATCCCGTTTTCTGAATAGTTTCACCAAAAAGTTCATGCTTGTGGCTCCTCAGGGATGATATAGAAGAAACAACACTGGTCTCATCTAAAAGAGTATTTTTATAGTGCGCGTGTTTCAAATCCTTTTTTACTGTAACCTTACCGATTCCCTTAGCACGTTTTTCTTCCTTTTTATCACAAACAAAACTGTACATTTTTGATCTAAGACCAACAAATTCAGAAATAGGTTTCCCATTTGTCTCGTCCTTCATTTTGCCAAGAACTTTTTTATTCTTATCACTGTGAAGGAAGTGTTCATTAGGATAATCAGACGTATCGAAGAACACTGCAGATGATTCCATGTCTTTATATATATCCTCAGTTTCACAAGAAAATAAGACGCTGTCTGTATCCGTCATTTGAAGCTGAGCTGATTGCTCATACCGCTTTTTGATGTAATTATACCAAAAGTCGTACATAAGACATTTGCTTAAATCTGTAAATAAATAAGCAAATAAATGAAAGTAGTAAAACGCGCTTTATAATAATAATAATAATAATAATAATAAAAAGAATGTTAAAAAATATTATTGTAAAAAGAACATAAAAGGAAATAACATATACCTAATATTGACATGCCGCAATAGATGGGTTTGAATAAGTGTACTTTTGCTCTTTGCAGTTCAACAGCTACGAGGTCTTCATTGAAGATAGTTGTAGTTTTGTAAGTTGGTTTTGCAGTGACTTTCAAAAGTCTTTCTTCTGTATGCACCAGCTCAATGTTTTTATGGCGCCTCACATTTTCCATGGTCTTAAAATATTATAAAGAATGAAAATAAATGAAGAAAACTAACTCAAATTTTATTTCCACTGACAATAAAATAAAAACAAAAGAATAATAAAAGGATTAATAAATTATAAATAAAATTTGATTTCGTTTTCTTTATAATAAATATATAAAACAGTAAAACTTTGTACAAATATTTAGACACTGACCTTTCCAAACACGGAAACATTCATCAATTTGTAAAAGTTCTTCTGAAAGTTGGAAGTAGCTTTCTTTCTCATCTCCGTGTTGAAATCTATGTAAGGCTTCATCCAGGCTACCTGTCTAAATTGTAATATTCTGTGGACATCTTTGAGTTCCATTCCTAGCTGAAGGTATAACTGTAAGTTCCTGTAATGCAGGATATACTTATTTTTATCCTCTAAAGTAGCCAGCAACTTCCCTACTTGACCTCGTGTAGGTAATGGATCAGTATCGTTTAGATGATTCAACTTTCTTAACAATTGTTGCGCGTATGGCGAGAGTTGTTCATTGGAAATGACCTTTTGTTCCGGTGCCAAAGGGAGGCAATTGTGAAGATCATGCAACCTGCTTGGATAATGTAGCGATACCTCAAGTATATATCCAAATTCCCCCGTTTCTGGGATAGACATAACATCAAATTTTTCCATATCTACTTTGTCCATGAAAGTAAAGTCACTAAGCGGAAGTGACTGTACCATGGCCCACCCGTAGAGATTATTTGCATCTAAATACATCATATAAGTTCTAGGTTTTGATGAGTCATAATCCTCCAGATACGGATTGTTGGCCTTCATATAACGGTTAGAGATCTGTGACAAACCTCCGCGAATGCCAGCCTCCACCATGAGTATTTTGTCAATATCTGTGAGTAATTCGAGCTGAACTTCCGTCTTCTTCAGTAAAGCCGACCACGATAAACCGGGTGATGTATAGAAATGGCAGGGATCCAGTTCGTATTGTTTCAAGCATACCTCTCGAAAAGACTCGAATACATCGCACAATAACAATACGTCCGTTTTCAAATAGAGGTCGTGGTATTGTCCTAAGGATGTCATAGCAAACCTATCAAAAACGGTCTGCGCGTGTTGATAATCTTGTTCAGAAATATGTTCTTTTTTAATGGTGGAATAGAACTCTTCTTTTGATGGTAGTGACGGCTCATCAAACCTGTCGAAAGAGTCCATATAGTCATAAGGATAGACGCCCTTACGAAGCAGGACCTCGGCTTCCTCCTCAGAGTCACATTCGGACAGAAGGGAAGGAAACGTCTGTAATCCATCTTTTGCGAGATTGTCTACCAAACTTTCTAATGAGGCTGGAAGAAACTGGAAGCTATCGATAAACCTTAGCTTGCCCAAAGAAAAACTAACGTAACGTTCAGAATTTTGAGCAATGCATTTAAGACGATAGTCTTTAAACAGGCCTAGGCTTTCACATAAAATATGCGCATCAAAATTTCTCAGGTTATGAAATATTACAGGAGTAAATTTTGCTTGCTGACAATTAAGGTTGCACTTGTTACAAGCTGGACCAATGATCTCCCCTGTCAGATGATTATGATGCCTGACTATTTTTCCGTAAGTCTTATCATTAATGGTGAATTTCTTTTTGCAAATGCAGCAATGAGAAGCGTTTGCAATGAGGTCCTCATGTTCTTCCATCAGGTCCATGGGTTCTATGGTTGAAAGAATATCATTTATTTCCTCCTGCTCTTGTAACAAGCATTCGATCATTTTTCTCCCTGCATATTCACCCCTATAAATGACAGTGGGTTTAGTGTATTTCTTATCTTCACACACCACTTTATATCCGAAGCCGCAAACTTCAAGTTTTGTTGTCACTGTGGTCGTGGAATGCTCAGGATTAGGCGCGCAAGTGTGTAGTTTCCTATTAATGGTTTCAAAATCAGCATAGATGACGAATGGGACCTTTAAAGTTTTTTCGTAATCTTTAAATTCTAGAATATCATTTTTACCGCTGACAGGAAGTTCCACCCTTTGAGCTCCGTGGTTTGAACAATACGGTTGATGTGTCTGTAATAATGATTCTTTCCAAAATCCATGCAGGCAATACGGACAAAAATGCATTTTGTTTTTATGCGTTTTCGTGCGATACAAAAAACGGTTCAAGTCCTTAATCAAACAATAATGAGACTTTCCTCCACTGGTCAACCACAATAAATTTACATGATGAAGGCGATTTCTCATTTCAGTAATTCTTAGAGGTACGATTGAATCTTCTTCCCAGGTGAATACATTGATAGACATATTCTGGTTTTGTTTTTCCACCTTGCGTATCTGTGGTATGGTAACAGGGTAGGTGATACCGTGCATGTCAACTTCACTTTCATACCGATAATATTGGTCTACACGTTGTGGCTCCGTCGTTGCGGGATGTAATGATGCTAACAGACAGTACAAAAAACATCTATCATCTCCATTTTGAATGTTTAGAAGACTATGATTTAATGTTAGAGATGTTGGTAATGGAATGTAGGTTGAAGCGTTTATAGGCTTGTATACCACAGTATGAATTTCCAGTTTTAAAACCCTTTTAACGTACCAGCCTGATCCTTCACGTATGTATTTTTCAAGACTGGCATACATCTTTTGCATGGCCTCGTTCAAATCGTGTTCATTCAAATCCTCCACTGACAAGGTGGAGTAAGAAAGGCTTCTGAAATACGGACTTGTTATTATAACATCTTCTCCTTCATCTCTCTGCATTTCTACTTGTACACAAAGATTCCATTTAATACCTCCAAGTATTTGTACACGATTACGTAAAAATGTGGTGATTCGATCTCTGATGTTACCAAAAAAAATCATTAAATCGTATCTCTCGCTGCCTCTTGGATAAATATGTCTGTTCTGCACACCGTTTCTCAAAGCTGACTCGTCAGCGGTTTCATGTAACTGATTTTCGGGACGTTGAATATTGGCTGCAACATGATCAGCATTAGTCTTATCAATTGTAACATTGACTTGTTGTTCAGTGTGATCCTGCGCGGGCTCGTTTACATCAAGTGTACGAGGTATTTCTGCTCTCCTTCCTCCTTGTTGATCTAACGGATGTCTCTGAGTTACATGTCGAAATAATTCGGGGTAGTTTTGGAATTCACACTCACAGTGCCTACATGAAAAGTTATTTTGCTGTTGCTTTGGAGATCTGCAGTTATGAACTGTATCACGATGTTGCGTGAGATTATTTCTCTTCTGAAAAGTTTTATGACATAAGCAACAAGGAAACGTCTTTCGTTTCTTTTCATGACGTATTCCATGTATAGTCTTCTGATGTACGCGTAAAGCGCTCAAATAAGCGAAAGATTTATCACATAACTCACATTCTTTTCTACTCGTATGACATTGCATGTGTTTGTTTAATGAATTTTTACTTCTGTAAGCTTTAAGGCATATACCACACGAGAATGTTTTGTCTTTACTCCTTTGATTGTTAAATTCCTCTTTACTCCTTCGATTGTTAAATTCCTCTTCACTACTTTCATCCGAGTGATTTGTAGTAAGATTTCTTTTCATCCTCTCACATTTAATAATTTCTGAAAATAAGGGAAAAAAAATATTTACTAGATCGTTATGTACAATTTCAGCTTATCAAATGTTTTAAAAAATGACATCTTTTCAATATACCAGAAGTTTATATGATAAATGCTCGGAAACTCGACTATAATTAAACCGTTCAACTTTAATTCAAATTTAATATAATGAATAACGCTATTTAATTATCACCACATGTGATTAATTTAGAGAAACGGGTGTGTACCTATTTCTTTTTAATACTGGAAATTGGTAATTCTACCACCTGTTAAGTTTAGTAATCAAATTGTGTTCTGT